AAATCTAATTAATAGAAATCTACAAATTCTACCATACAATTTTGTTGTAACCCATTGACCCTTCATAAACTCTGGATCAATTGCTGATCCATTAAGAGTCTAACAAATTTCAAGGTCATCTATATCTTATGAAAGTGCAACATGAAATATTTTCACCTGATGATTTAGTGAGTTCAATTTTGTTTTGTTGATTTATAATTTTTCTGTGTTGACTCATATGTTGATCAAGCAATTGTTTATTAAATCCATGTTCTTCATTGTCATTATTATCATTGTATACGAAAGATCCAAAACCTCTTCACACATTTTATTAATGAAGATGATGATGAGATGTGGTCAAGAAAGGTGGCAGAGGATGGATTATTATTATTTTGATTTTGGCTAATTTGGTTATTTTTATTATACAACTTGTTTCTCGATTATATGAATTAAATTCAAATGAAGAATCATATAACTCATATGTCAATTCATATAAATCATATTCACACTCTGAGATTTGTATCACTTCCAAAATCTTTTAATAATTCAATCAACTTGTCAAAAACTGCTCTTTGCAATAAAGCCTTAACCAACAGTTTATTTGTTTGTGATTTTTTGGCTACAGTTACATATTTGTATTTTATTAAAAGATTATCTATATTGTTATAATCAAATTCCATGGTTATAGTTCTTAAATTTGTAATACAATTCTGAATTTTATCTTGCAATCTAGAAAGATCTTGCGAAAACTGAGTTGACCTCTGGTTTTTAAATATATGTGATGTTCCTGTTGATGTAAATATATATATGATGTTTCTGTCGATGGTGATGTTTTAATGATGATGATGATATTGTTGACAGACTTGATGACAACAATGATGCTATTTTTGATAATAATTGATTTAATCATTTATATTCTTATTTCTGCCCTTAATTTAATAATGTTACTTTTTTATTATTATTTACAACGTTATAATCATATTAGAATTGTAACTCTGAATTATGTTTTTTAGATTTCAAAATTAATACTAGTTACAATCAACCTTTCTTTTTAAGTTCTGATTAATGCTATTAGTGTTATTATATTCTTGAACTAAATTGTTATATATTTAGCTACTCATGTTGAATAAATATTTTGAAATTCATTTATTTTTTTTTTATTAATTCATTATTTGCCATAAGCTGGTTGAATCGGACACAAGGGAAGGATAATCTAATCCGAATATAAAAGAAGAAAACCGCACAAGATTTGTGGCATATTTTTCCATTATGTTCGAATTTAGATCATTATTTTATTACTTTTATTTGTTTCTTTAATTAACATTTATATTCGTCTTTAATTTGCAAAATTTGTTTCGATAAAAATTTTTTTTCTTCATTAAAAGTCAAAAATGTTTTAATATGATTTATAAATTTTTTGCAAAATTTTTTTCCAAAAAACTTAGTGCTAAGCTCTTCATTATTATTGTTATTACTGCCGCCGCTATTGTTGTTAAATACATTATTATTAGTATTAGTCTTATTACTATTTTACATTAATAAGAATGTATTGTTATAAATTGATTCTGTTCTTATTCATTCTG